TCATTATATAGTCAGTTTGATCATTTGATTATTTAGACTTACGCCGATACCACTTGACTGTGACAAATCAAATGATCAGTGAAACCTAATATGAAAATTACGTAAAACGGACAATCGCGTCCAGAACCATAAAGTCGCTGTTAGAACCCAAGCGTCCGCAGTGACTCGAACGATTGAGAAACATTTCTGCCATTTTCCAAGAGAACTCTCAAGTGATTCCTCGGAAAAGTTTTCGCGACGAGTAAAAATGCAAAAGAAAAATTTGACTTTGAAATTTGAGGTCAATTTTATGGCAAATTCCTTATACGTATTTCCATCGAATCGAAGTAGCGTAGAATTCGTTCAATGATAGCAAACGGGCAAACTTTTCTTTCCACTTTGTACTTAGAGACACAGGCACATCCGTGGAAATCTGACAAGTGACAAACTATGCGATGAATTTACTACCTGAGAGGCTTGTTTACGCCAATTACGACTTAGGTTGGCGATCATCGATATCGACAAATGTAAAAATAAATGTAAATGTAAATATAAATTAGGCTAATTGAGGGAAGTCCACTTCAGGCTCGCAACTACGGCCTTATCGATCCTGATAAAGACAATTAAACTGATAAACGCAGATAAGCGTCAGTTCGACTACTTGTTCGACGCAAATTCTAACGCTATAATTACGCGTAACGATCTCGCACGATCGTTGTAACGATTTCGAGCAATCGTTCGAGCATCGTGCCTTGTTGCGTACTGTTTGAAGCTGTTCGAATTCAATTTCATTCCGGAGAATAATTTTCCATTTCAATTACAAGTAGTAATATTACTTTCATCAAGCATTAGGTCAAGATACTTAGGTTAGACAAAAGAATAGCATAGTTCAGATAAATATAAGTATAGGGTAAAGCAAAATAGGATACAGAAATATTGAATACATGTGAAATTTAGGATACGTGCAATGTGGAAACCAAAGTCAATTTCAAGGCCAAAGAGGCTGAAATAAACATATACATGCATACAATATTATTTTCATCGTAAATAATAAAAACATTGCGTTATCGAATCACTCTAACTATTTCATTATTTGCATTTTCAAAAATGACACGTTACTACACGTTACTACGTTACTTTGCTCCAAGATCAAGTTGATCATCTTTGAAAATAAATGTGTGTTTTAATTAACTCGTTGGAATAATGAATAACGAACGTCGATTGTCCACTGCATGTGATCATTATGTTGCATTAGAACGAATTGGATTATAACGAACTGCGATTATAACAACGTTTGAACTAACATTTTACAGTGGCATTTGTTTTTGAAATTGTTGAATGAGTAATTGTCGAATAGATAGAGGCAAAATGATATTAAGTAGACTCGCTCGTATCGCTCATTCGAAATTCTAATTTCTGTATACATTTAAGCGTACATTCCATGTATGTACATTCTAGTACAAGGATGTATGTATACTCGAGTATATCAATACACATGTTTAAGTATACGTTATATATACATTAAGTGATGTTGTTCTAACAATTACTACAAGTAACACTTGTTTGAGCACAACGGTGTGTACGTTGTCCGTGAAGTGCCGATAGCTCTCTCGTTGGGGTTTTTATGGAATGCGAATATAGGTTAAACACTTATATCTAACAACTATATATATTTAAGGTTGAATGATGACTGTGTGACTGATGCTGTGTACTGTGTACTGTATGATTGCTGTATGAGATGAGCTGATATCGTGACTGTGTGCCTGTGATTATACAGAGTGTTTCGTAATTTGTGGGACCCACTTCGGTCCAAAAAAGGTCATATAAATATATGTCCTATCTGCCTTCGTTTATGAGATATAATGAATTTTATAAACAGAGCAAACTCTAGTAAGCTAGTTTCACCAGGGATGGTACATTCAATTTTCATTCAATAATCATAATTGGGATGAAGAAAACCCACGTGTTATTGCGCATTCAAGACATCAAGACCAATTTAGTTGAAACGTACGGGCAGGAATAATTTTTAATTGGACCTTTTTTTCTTGATGGGAAACTAACAGGCACAAAGTACGTTGATTTCTCGAGTACGCGTTTACACGAAATATTAGAGGAAGTTCCAAGTCGATATTAGATTATTCGTATGCGGTTTATGCATGATGGAGCTCCGCCGCATTTTAGCCGAGTGGCTAGGCAATTTTTAAATCGACACTTTGCAAATAAATGGATTGGTCGTGGAGGTCCTGTTGCATGGCCTGCTCGTTCTCCGGATTCGAATCCATTAGATTTTCATTTGCGGGGACATTTAAAAATCTATTGTATACGCAACGTCGATTGAACATGCTGAAATACTACGAGATAGTAAATAGAATAGAGCAAGGCTTCCGACAAATTCGAGAAACACCAGAAACGATAGAGAGAGAGAGTAACCAGATCAATGGCAAGACGCGTGCAGGCTTGGTGGTCATTTCGAGCATCTTTTCTAAAAATAATTGAAACAGAAAATTCATTACATCTCATAAACATAAAGACAGATAGGACATATATTTATATGACTTTTTTTCATTATTTTTAGACGTACAATCAGCTCTCGATCTGGGTGCCACAAGTTACGAAACAGCCTGTATAGGCGGTAAGACCCGAGATTCCCTCCATACCTCGGGCAAAGGTGTCTCCTAGAGGCTCTTTCCTTTGTTTTGCTCATGCCGATCTTCTCCATATCCCAGTCCCTTCTTCAATGCAGGAGAAAGTGCAATTAGAAGGGACGACAACAAGGGAAATTGTGAAAGCCGGCATGGTTATTGCCTGGATTTGCCATGGTTGGAGTGAGTTGTGGCTGTCGTAACTGTCCGATTAGCACGTTCTGTTCCAGAACAATACTATTACAAACGTTATCTGTATTAAAATGAATTCCCTTGAACAAATGAATGGCGATTGGATAATTAATTAACCGCGGGTAAGTAACGCGGGAAATTAGCTGGAAAATGATGGAAAAAAACGTTCACGGCGGACAAACGAGGAGCGCATGTACAAACGGGGATTTATTTTGTGGCTGATTGCTATCTCTACGTGCGTGCCAGTTTGTTAAATCGAAACGATGTCAAGAACACGACGACGATGCTAATGCTTTTCGAACAACGATTCCTTATTCGCTCATGCAGAAAGAATTCCACAATTATTTGTCCGAAATTTTGCTTCCCTTTTCTTAATGCACACGTAGCCATCCATTCGTTCTCTTCGAAGGGAACAACATTTGCTTCGTTTCGTTCTTTGCCTTCACTTCGTTCGACGAGTGAAGTCTTCAATATTGATAACTTCAAAATGATAATTTACATTAATTTATCCCGGGATCAGTTGATCGACATCATTTCTTTTCTTCTCGCACCGTCGTTCATAATTCCTGGATTATGATTAGTTTATCTTAGGGATTACGCGTATCGAATGAATTGCGATAATTTCGGTACTTTTTTTGTAAATACGAAGCGCCTAGGTCGTAGAGGTGAACGTATCTTTGAAGAGCGTAAATTCACCCGGAGAAATTCACGAATCTTCCACTCCTGCGTTTAATTGCCAACGAGAAACAATTTATTAGAACTTTTGTTAGAAATTTCTCCAAAGTTTTGAGAAAACTTTGCTCTACTCGGTGCAAATTTCAACAATAATTTCGACAATTTCAATCACCATAAACCACCAAAGTCATTCAAATTTCCTTTCATTTCGTATTCTGTGTACATTTTGTACATATTAGTGAAATGTTCCGATAGCGATGTTTGCAACGCAAAAGAATTAATTTCATGTACATTTCGTCGATTATTTCAATTGACGAGATCAACTTTTTTTATGTCATGAAAATAACAATGTTTAAACAATGTTTCACGAAACGAAGATGAAATATTCTTCGTCCTATAAAAGAATAACAAAATATAGAACGGAAATTAACATCGTCAATTATAATTTTACTTTACTTTTACACATGTATCTACGTATACTATTCTACGTATACTATTATATTGATTACTGAATACTGCGTATTTTACTCGATAAAAAAAAAAAAGTCAATTCATCGCGTACGCTGTTTAATTTTAAATTAAAACGTGACAATAAAGTGGCACGAAGGAAGAAACAAAAATTAAAAACAAGGTAACCTGATGAAACATTGTGACGACCCACGACCCGACGATACCAGCAGCTACAAATTGATAAATTTCACTCTGCAACGATCGAAAAACGACCGAAATCGATTTATCTATCCTATAAGCACGTACAGGTATATCTATTTCTATTTTATTCTTACAGCCTGAATTTTCCTACATTCTTTTATTTAACAAAGTTTCAATCACATCTAGATTTACATGAAACAGCAGATCCTGTACGAATTTTCGTACTTCCATGCGACACCGGTGTCTTTCTTACAGCGATAAAACGCTATAAGACAGACAGACGGCAGGAAGAGTCGAAGAACGTCGATTCTAAATAGAATCTAACTGCTTGTTTACTGAACAATGAGAACAATAGTGTTTGATGAAACGTAGAAACGCGAAATGCAAAACGAACACTTACTGATAATGAACCGCGCATCGGTTCGAGTCTGTTCATTCTAGTTCATTTGCGAATTATTATTGGCGCACTACCGTTACCGTATCACTCGATAACGAGAGTTTATTTGACGATAAAAATCCTGCTCGCTAATAATTCACGCGCAGCGCTACTAGGTATCAACTAATATCTCTCTCTCTCTCTCTCTCTCTCTCTCTCTCTCTCTCTCTCTCTGCAGACAGTTTACGTAGTATTTCTAGCCAGCCAATATTTCTAGTTCGATATTACACGCAAGAGTACGAGTTTCACGACGTTTAACTTGTCGTGCTTGCTCACTCACTCGATCTCTTTTCAGTCTCGACGCGAGAAACTGAGTTTAATCGAATTTAAGAAAAGAGTTTGCCTCGCCCCACAAATTTCAGACGAACTCGAGAAATTCTTTGCGCATAGACTTCTTATACGTATATATATACATATCCGTAAGTTTTATTCAGTTTTTATTGAGTTGAAATTTTTCATGTTACTTTAGCTTGATGAAATTGTGGTAGTGGTTATCATAGATAGTTATATATCGTGGAGTGAATATACATAATGTTTGTATGGAAGGATGAATGTGGCGAGTGTGCATATATAATTGTGGTGTGGTGTGATCTGAGTGTTTGATATATTTCATGGCAGAGAGAAGAAAGAACGAATGAGAGAGATGTATGCGAGAACAATTGAGAGCGGGCATAGTGACGAGAAACAGTTGTGATCGGGAAGATGCAAAGCATGAGAGACGAGATAGAGAGTGAAACAATGAGAGTTAAACATTCCATGTGTTTCGTAATTTATATTAAATCTATCAATAATCAGTGTGTTTGTAATTCGATCCACTAACAGAAATTTCAGACGAATTCAAGAAATTCTTTGCGCATAGACTTCTTACACGTATACCTATGTATCCGTAAGTCTTATTCAGTTTTTATTCAATTGAAATTTTTCATGTTACTTTAGCTTGATCAAATTTTAAACAAATTCAAGAAATCCTTTGCGCATAGATTTATTATACATATATTATATTTATTATATTTATTATTTATTTATTAAACATATATTATTTTATATATGTTTATATGTATATTATATTATATTTATTATTTAGATTTATTATACATATATTATACGTACACTCGTAAATTTTTATTCAGTTGAGATTTTGTGTTACTTTACCTTGGCTTACAAATTTACACGCCGAGACTTTTGCTACTTATTTTTAATGACAAACAATTTCTTCTTTCGTGCTATTGGCTCACTGCCATAAACCGAGGCGAATTTATATAGAATCATTAGTATAATTTGTCTTTGCGATAAAGAAATCGTGTCTCTTACGTTAGTCTTTCTTTATCTTTTTCCTTTTCTTTCCCTCCTTTTCTCTCTCTCTCTTCTTTTTTAAATAAATTAAAATAAACCTTCGACGTGTATAGAGTACAAGTACACGCATACACACACGCGCGCGCGTACATACGTACATTGCATACTGGCAAGTTCATTGCGAATAGATACATACATAGATAATTGTCCACTTTCTTTGTCACTCTATTTTTGCAAATGTTTCTCACCGTCGCAGACAAAACTATAATTACCGCAAGATGTTTCGCTCTTGATCAATACAAATCAAGCGAATGGCAAATGGCAAATTAAAGGTAGTTTGTATAATTCCAGTTCAGTGTCCTTGATATTGCACTCTGTGAAGTGACTGAGATAGGAAATCCCCATCTTCTCATTATACACACACATATCTTTCCATGTGATTCGCTTCAATTCAATTGTTCTCTCTCTCTCTCTTTCTCTCTCTCATTCTAAATCTCGTGTCTGTTATTTACACACTGTGGAAACGCTTCCCTTTAAAAATCCCCTCTTCGTTTCTACGATAATTGTACTTTAATTGTATAACAGTTCGAGCATCGATCGTTACTACCAGTTGCGATGGCTAATCGCAACGCTATTTCATCGTCGTTTCACTTTTTCTTCTTTGTAATATTGATAAATTTCCTAATTATAGTTTATCTTCTCGAGTTTTCAATTGCAATACATACTGCAATATGTTGCGACATACGTATTATAAAACGTGGCAAGTTGTTTCAGATCGATGAACGATAACCAAAGACATCTAAATATGCATATGTATGCACATGTGCTTGGAAATGACAAATAATCTGTCCAAGTTCCCGATAACTAACCGTGGCGAAAAGTAGAAACGAGTCACCGAACGAATCGTAAACTCGTTTTCTTCACGTTCGTGTATTTTGATTGCAGGAAATTAATCAACGTTCGATGGACACTCTGCTTCATCGATAGGCATTTCTTTTTTCTTTTTTTTCTAAATTGAATTACCAGCTGAAATATGAAAGAAATTGAAAAACAATTGTCCAGAGTGTCACAAATGGTACTTAAATGTCACATGTACTACTTGGTTTCTTTTTAGCTCGAAGGCGTTTTCTTTCCTTTTAGCACGTGAGAATGCGTTGTTAAATTGTTATTGATTATGAGAAAGAAAATTCTAGCACGTCATTTTCTTCTCCAAAAAAAAAAGAAAACTTTGTCATTTTCGTAGTAAATGAGCACTGCAATATGTCTCTTTGCGCAATCACTTTACAATTTTGTTCAAAAGAGCACGACAACTACTGTACTGTCGTTTAGCTCCCAAACGTAATTCAAACCATAATTAATTTAATACAGCTGTATGCTGTAAATGTAGGAAAAGTCTCCAAAAAGTTTTCCTCTTCAAAACTAATCGATCGTGGTTCGATTTGTGTCGAATTTGTTAAAAGAGGAAGGACAGAAGAATATTCCACGTTAGTTTGCATAGTTTTTGCTAGAAACCATGAGGCAAGGATTCTAACGATAACTAAGATAAACAGAAATTATGGGGCGAAACGAATTCAGAGAGTAAAATAACCCAACCAATATACGTGTTTCTCAATTTCTAAAATATGACACTTTCTTACCTTTCAAGTAAAGTACAGTGTTTAAACATAGAGCGAAAGCGAAACAATTGTTTAAAAACAATTACTCTGAGTTCTCCTCGATTTCGATGGCGTTGGGTAAAACTAATTGTAAGTTTGAACTAAGGAAGAGAAGACGGTATAATAATTATTCTTACCTGTTCGACTCTCAGTCTCCACCGTGTCAACCATGACGAGATCCCTCAAATTACTTTCACGATAAAATTAAAATTAAAACGATGAAAAAAAAAAAAAAATAAAAACAAGAAGGAAAAAAGAGAAAAATTAACAGCAGTAAGCAGAGTCTTCTTCTTCTTCTTCTTCTTCTTCTTTTCCCTTTTTCAAATCAGGGGCAAGACATATCTGTCATATCTTCTCGTAAAGGATCACTGATTAGGAAGAACTGATCGAACCAACACGATGAACCAACCCTGGAATCTCAACGTTGACTGAGCTTCGAAATTAGAAGAGAGCATCGATATGTCGTTGTCCGAGCTTCCAAAGAAACATCGGGAAAGAGAGACAGAGTGAGAGAGAGAGAGAGAGAGAGAGAGAGAGAAGAAAGAGAGAGACAGAGAGAGATTCAACTGGCACTAGACACATGTGTTGTAAATACATACAAACTTGTGCGAATGCTTGTGAAACTTTTCGCGCAGTGTGACGTGTTGTAGGTCGACGTCATTTTCTTTTCTTTCTTTCTTTCTTTCTTTCTTTCTTTGAAAATCGAAATTTTGGATGTCGGAAAATTTATGGAAATGTGCGCGTACTTTTTCAGTTTCAGAGCATTATTTCTTCACGAACGATGAAGAAATTTTAAACGTTGAGCATAAACGAAAAGCAGGCTCAATCAGGCGATACGGGAGAGAGAAAAAAAGGTTGGGAACCGCTGGTATAATGGATGAAAATTAAATTAGACTATACAGATGTATGTATATATAAAATATACGTATTTATGTAAATTAAAATACAAAAAATTACGTTATTGTATTACGATATTTAAATGGATGGAAAACGAGGTTCGGGAATTATAGAATTAAGTAATGGAATTTTACGGGTGAAATGGGAATTGGAGGTTGAAGGTTAAAGTGGAAAATGGCCGACGATGGAGCCCCTAGAAAGAAAGAACAGAGAGGAATAAAAGTATTTGGAAAAGTCATTTTTAAATTTATTGATTGACGCGCGAGGATTTGGGTTTTAGGTTATCTTTCGTTTTATTTCACGCGGTAAACCTAAACGCAAGGGAAATCGTTTCAACGTACGCAGCTAGTAGAAAACTGTGTTGAACAACTCGAACAGCTCGTTTAATGTTCATTTAATATTCTTAATTCTGGTAGTTAATTAAATGAATTAGAGTGGCCTCCTCGAGAAGAAAGAATGAAACTGTCGTCAGCGATAATTGTCGTTACCGATGTTCCCTTCCTCGTTTTCAACGCACTTGTTTGTCCATTTAACCCTGTGATAATTGGCACAATTGCCGGAATTATGTCGCGTAACAGCCATTTGAAAAAGAAGATACGAATGAGAAGATTATTAATTAGCCGTGGATTAAATCAAGACGTACGCATATACATACGTAGATACATACGCACGTGTTTTCCAAGAAATCCTCGCTCCCTTGCAACCCTATTCTTCTCTCTCAGTTTTATTCGCGTGGATGGCCGTTCACGCTCCAGAATCTCCTACGTTTCTCTCTCATTTCGTCAAATCGAACATTTCCTCATCGTGTTATCGTACTGTATCATTTATATATTCGACATATTTCCATGTCATTTCTTGTACAAATAAATCAATCCCATTTTAACCTGTTTTAACTTGCCTCAATTCGAATTTGAAAACTCGAAGGTTTAAATCAGAAGCTGTGATGAAGCTATGAACTTGCTGTAAAACACAGTACAGCAAGGAATAGAAAAAGAGAAATTTAACATCACTGCTCTCGCCAAATATCTGTGCCCTCTATAGAAAAAAATTGAAGTTCCAATTGTTTAAATAAGAAAATACTCTTTACTAAAAGTCAATTCGAATGTGAAAACTCAAAGGTTTAGGTCAGAAGACGTTAAATTTACATCAGCTTACAGTTTGGTCTACATCTACGTTTCTACGTGCATACGTATAACAGCTATAAACTTGGTA